GTGACCCAGCTCAGATTCAGATTTTGTCTTTACATTTTTTTCAACCCCAAAACTACACTTAAAAATGTTCTGTAATTAGACATGACTTAAAACTACAGTTCTGAATCGAAAGGTCTGAACCTAAGACTGTCCCAGCCCTGAACATAGATACAGATCTGAAGTTCTCCCATATTATGGATTTTTAGAAACAGATCAAATCTAGACCTACCTCTTCTGAAGTGCCTTCCATGGCTCATGCCAGATTCCCTACCGAGCATCAGTTGGATGCCATGGCAAAGGACTCCATCCTCATGTAGTCGGTGCAGGATTAGGTATCTTACATGTGTCTCCCTCCTTAAACACACGCACAAACATGTTACAATATCCCTCTGAGTCTTACTGGAGTGCCATCCAAAATCAAATTGTGGGCTTAAGTGCTATTTATTTTCATGCAGCATGTAAAGGGTGGATATTTTTGCTTTCTCCACAGAGTCTGTGTTTTTTTAGTTTTTTTAATCTCAAAATTATTGATTTAGGAAGAATGATCCTGTTAACTTTCTCAGGAGGGTGGACTTTCTCCTCCTAGCCATATTAATTTATTTAATTTATCTTAAATTTGATTGCAGTGAGCACCCCTAATTAACCTGATTTTTTGCTGATAATCACTCACAATGGAATCAAATCACAAATCCGGGGATGGATTGACCGGCACACAGAAAGAAGCCGCCCTCCGTGCATTAATTCAGCGAACGGGATATAATTTGATCCAGGTAGGAACTCATGGTCACGTCCTTTTTTGCACAATGTCTGGTTTTGTCTTGAATCGATACGTTGCATCGGGGGCTCAAGCAGCAAATGTCTAAGCGTGAAGCTTTGCTTCTTACGGATTCTCCTCGCTCTTTCTCTCCGATACATGTAAGCCATAAAAATGTGCAATAGCTGCTGTCTTTTATAAAGCAGATAGTATTCCTCCAGGAATTCTTTGCCTGATGTGATTATGACAAGCCGGGAAAAATAACTGAGCACAGCGTAGTCTTGGGAAGGGTTGGGATATGTGAGTCATGGCTGCAATGGTAGTATAGCAGAGAAAACTTGCTAAAAACGTCAGAGTTTCTGAAGAACTTTGGTCCAGTCTTGGCCATAAGAAGCTTGATGCGTGATCACCAGGTCTGCATTTCATACTGCATATACACACACACAAATACACTTGAGAAAGGTACCTTACCTGCCTGATAGCCCAAGGTTTGCTTCCAGGCTGATCTTCAGGGTCTCCGAGTAGAAAGCCTGCTCTGGTTAAGGGCAGATGGAAAATAGGAAGATCCCTCAAAACCATCTCAGTAAGTCTTTCTTAGTTAAGAGCAGCCAATACAAGTTAAATTTCAGAAGTGCTAGGCAATAGTATGACCATCCTTGCATTCTCTAAGAAGCAGCGGTTGGAAACAGTAAATTTTAGGAAGGTTGTTGTCTTGAACTTTGCCTTTCTTTACGTGGCACTAGGGGGCACAACAGCTCAAAGCAAAAATTGAGACTCTTGGGGGGGGAAAAAGTATTTTCACTTACCCCTTAAACCTGTACACACTCTCCGACTAGGCCAGCAACTGGATTCGTTGCCCTTAAGAGCCTTTCTGCCATTCTTTACCCACAACTTCTCTGTGTCTTACATTTGCTGTGACGTTCTTTATCTTCTGTTTATCGGTCATGTACAGCTGTCAATAGCTCATTTCTAAGTCACAGGTTTCCCCGCATACAAACACGCCATGACCATCTTCTTTCTTCTCACCTTTTCCTTTTTTCAAGTTTACCATTTTCTCTTTTGTCCTTCTCATTTCCCTTTTCCATCTCTCCATGCTTTTTTTTCAACCTACTTATCACTGAGCCAAACACCTCCTTGCTTAACGTGTGCCACGGTCGCTCATCTTCACGAAGAGGACGATGCTCCTTCTGTCCAGCCAGATTGTGAAGATGAGACCATTTAGATGCTGCCTTCAGGCCACATATGAAGCCACTGCAGATGGAAAGAAGATTTTATTTTTTGCTGAGTCTCCTCAAACACCAGCTCCCACATACATTGACAGGATGAAAAAATTAACTAACTGTTTGATTTTCTTTCACCAGGTTTACAAGTGGGATGATAAAACTCCCCTAGCCCTTTTCAGCCCATTATATATGAAATCAATATTTCTTTCAGTGACCGGTTACTTCCTCCAGCTGACACGCCAATGAAGACTGCAGATGACTGCAACAACACATGACGTGACTGTGATGTTTTGTCTTCACTGAACAAATGGATCGAAAGATATCTAGGCAATTCTTGGGGAAGCCAGAAAACCTCACACCACCGACGTGCTCAGTTCAGCCAGCGTAGGGGCAGAAAAAATAGCCTGAAGCTTCACGATCTTCCAGTCTGATTTGCTGTGAGGACTGCTTCATAAATTCAAATAGTCCTATGACTTCAACGTCACGCTGAAAGCATTTCCATCGCAAAGAATGAGCATGGATAACTCAGGGCCAGGTATAGACTGACAGTGCTCTTGCTACAGTCTTAGTTTCCTGCAAGGGTCTGCCTTTGCTATAGGCTTAAGTTATTCAGGCGTTCATCATAAGTCAGCCATTCATTAAGTCAGTTGTTCGTTTGCCTGGAATAATCCCAGAGTGGAAAATGATAACAGAAAGAGAGGGACAGAAACAGAAAAATGAGCAAACTCCCAACTCCTCTGGTCACAGCGAATTGCAGCAGGACAAGGAGGGCTAGAGAGAAAGAGAAAGAGAGAAAGATAAATAGGGAGAAGAGAGAGAAAGAGGAAGAAGAGAGAGAGAAAGAGAAAGAGAGAAAAAGAGAAAGGAAGAAAAAGAAAAAGTAGG